AAGAGATGCCTGGAAGAAACTCTGATTATGTAAGAAATTTTTTTTACAAGAATTACAAAACAAATTGTGTTACGTTCATTGCTTTTGGTTGTAGTGTGTGTATATATATATATTTTTGTTTAGATTGATACAATTTTTGTTTTGTCGGTCTACATTGTCTGTTTTTTCTTATTTCTTCAGAGTGCTACTTTCAATTTATTTTACATCATAGCGAAGTAATGACATACAGCTAGTAATTATATATATATATATATATATATATATATATATATATATATATATATATATATATATATATATATATATATATATATATATATATATATATAAATATATATATATATAATACACGTATATAGAACGTGTTAAAAATTCGGCGCCTTTTTTTTGCTTTTTTTGCTCCCCAAACAACGAAAACCTGGATACGCCTCTGACGATAACTCAAAACAAAGTTGAAATTAACTTATACATATAATGATTTAAAACTAAAAATAATAACACCAGGTTCGATTTGAGTAAGACTATACGATTTTTAGTTTAATTTTTTAAATTACAAAAATCATCTTTTTCGTAATGCATTATAGTAGAGGCTTAAATCTAAAAATCGAGAAAAACAATATCGCTAATGTTTTGTCGCTATATTCGTTGGTATTTTGATCAATTAAAATAAGAAAACATTCATACTTAAAATTTGAATTTAGTGTGAGTCGGTACATTTTTACTTTCTCGTATATACGAAGTATAGAGAAAGTATTGTAATCGTGCAAAAAAAAAAAAAAATCGAGATTTTTACAATCAAGATTTTTACAAATCTCGACGTTTTACACCTCACTGATACGGAAAAACATAATTTTGCAATCTTTCCGTATGTCTGTGTGTCTGTCTGTCTGTCTGTCTCTCTCTCTCTGTGTGTGTGTGTGTGTGTGTGTGTGTGTCTGTGTGTCTGTGTGTAAACACGGTTACTTGAGTACCGTTACAGCTAGGTTGATGGAATTTAATATATAAGTATTTTATCAAAATCGTAGATCCGTATCAACTTTTGAGCGATTTCCGATAACCGGAAGTGGTACTTTTCCTACTTTGAATTTTTGAAAAGCCTATAACTTGAGTACTATTTCAGATAGATAAATGAAATTTCACATGTAAGTAAAAGATCTAATTCTCTACCTTCTGTTGACCGGAAGTAGTAATTTACGCTACTTCCGATTTCTCAAAAAACTAATGTAAATTTTTAAAGTACTAATAATATTGCGCACTATTATGCACTTTTTTATTTGGCGTTCACTTGGTGAGCAATTCTTTTGTTTACGAGATTTTATTCTATTTTAAAAAAAACTTTAAGTATTTAAAATGGATTAAAAATCATATCTATAGACCGAGTTCCCATCCTCTGTTATTTTATATAAGAATATTCGAGAAAGTTTTGGGGAGATCACTCCCGGTTTATTACTGTTATTTTCACAAATGTTTTTACTTTCTTCTTCAGACGTTCACAAGATGTAAAACCCGACTAACAAAATAGATACCGTAGGCCTAAATATAAGCGACGTCGATTCTACATTTCTCCGCTATCGTATTCCGTTATATTTGTTTTATATTAGTAGGCCATTAGGTCTATTTAAAATATAAAATAAAGGTGTATCTAAGCTGTCTTAAAAATTATAAGCCAAAGGTCGAAATTATTAATTGAATAGTGGTTAAATTCACCAAGTAGACTGTGCGGGTTCCAAGTGTGTTCATTCTATTGTAAAAAGCTGAATGTTTACACTGGTAGTCTTCATTTATTTCATATCCCATTAGTTTATCTTGCTAAAGAATAAAATATACCCTTGTAAACAACAAAGCAGTAGCGTAGCGAGGGGGGGGGGGCGGGGGGGGGGACATGTCCCCGGGCGCCGACCTTAGGGGGGGGGGGCGACAAATTGAAAGTTTGAGGGGGGGGGGCGGGGGTGCAAATGAAAAGTTCGAGGGGGGGGGGGGTGCAAATCGAAAGTTTGAGGGGGGGGGGGGTTGCAAATGAAAAGTTCGAGGGGGCGTGCAAATCGAAAGTTTGTCCCCGGGCGCCGGGAAGGGTCGCTACGCCTCTGCAACAAAGGCCTATATTTATTTGCTTGATACCCACTCACACTCAAATAACGATTGTATGAGGAGGGGGGAGGGAGACTTTCTGAGTTAAAGACCTTTGAGTTGGGTGCTAATTGGGTTGCTTTTGTTAAGTTAGTTTGATTGATTTTTTTCGAATACTACATCTAAAATGAAGTTGAAAGTATGTAAAGTATGGTTGATAAGTTAGCTATTAGTACTGGGGTACCTTTTGCTTTTCTAAACGTGGTACGGAATTGAATCTGCCTTTCATCGTCCACAAATAAAGGCACTCTTTTTTTTACACACATTCCCCTCCCCCATCCATAGCTTATCCTTATTGTTGTAAGACGTTTTTCCAGACCCGGTATCATCGCCAAGATTTTGTTAAATGTTATCACAACTGGACAGTGTGGTCTAGTATGTAGTACGCCCGCTAACTAAACTGATAGATCGGTACCCGACCTGGTGACCGTAGGTCATCCCACGACCAAGCTGTCCATCACGTTCAAAACCAGTTGGCAAGATGTCGTATTTAAAACTGGAGGCAAAAGCCGGACAGAAACCCTCGTGTCTAGCGTCTGTCTACGTAGCTGTGTGAAATGCTCGATTCTTGATAACGTTGCTGTTTGTTTCGCGTTAGATATGTTCAGTTATCTAACGACACCCAAAGATTATCTCTTAACTGACATGCTTCCAATATGTCAAAAACACTCATATATGTTGCACTGTACTGAGCTGTCTCTATGATACCGTGAATACCTAGGAATTAGGAATGTTTATTCTTTTTTACTCAGCCAGTTTCTTTTATTTTTACTATTATTATGACGTTTGAGTTAAATGATTGAATATATCCAGTGGTATATTTTTATTTAAATGATTTTTAATAAACCACGTTTAAATTAAATAATTTATTAAAATCTTGGTAGAGATACTCATTTTTTAAAAAAATGCATTTAAAAATACTTATTTGAAAATTTTATAATTGTGCGCCTACGCAGAGTTATTTCCCTTTCGCATTTTTTCTACGCGCTCGATGCGACCACTTTTTGCTTTCATTTTCCATTGGCTTAGTTGTCCCCGCAATTTTTACACTAAAACCGTCATATCTAGAGAACCGTTTATCCTATATACATAAATTTGGTATCATTTTGCAACATTTAGTCCCCTTAATACAACCCCGTCATTATTTTGTCACTTTATTAATATAAACATTAAACAGTGGTGTTCTGTAAATTAGAGTGGTTTCCCCTGAAACTCTAACAATCTTTTACACAAAAAAAAAACTTAAACAAGATGGCTGCTAAAGTTAAAGTAAATGAGCGTGGTTGCATCAGATGAAAACATTGCTAGTCGTTATTTAATACTATTGTTTAAAAACAGGTAGGATCTTGATCTAGATCTATAATTCTAAAGGCCAATGCAGGATAGGGCGGATAGGGTAATGTATCGTTTTAGCGTAATCAATGGACACCAGCGAGAAAAGTCTCAAAGGTACTATGAATAACAATTAGGCCTAATAACATGTAGAGTAGAACTTAATAAATAATAAAATAACTAGATCTAGTTTTATTATCAATCAGTTGCTTTTTGTTATTTTCCGGTGAGTAAATTACCTAATCTGACGCAATGGACACCAGCGAGAAAAGTCTCAAAGGTATTTGAGAGGTGTATAAATTCATTAAAAAATCATGCACAGCGTATTTACAATTAATATGGTTATAAAATCCTGCCTGTCTGGTTTTTTTCGGACTTTACTAAAGATTGGATGTATTTGATGTTTATAATATTTTCGGTAACTAAATAAAAATTAAAAAAAAAGCAAAAACAATTTGGTTTTCACGTGTAATGGCGAAATAAACATGGCATCCTGCTATTGGATAGGCTGCCATAGATTTTATTGTACACATTGTAAGCTAAAAATAGAAAACTAGGTAATGGGGTTTTAAATTTGCATTGTTATTTAAAAACTTGATCTGCAAAGTTTTGTAAACAAATAGTTATCGATCACTAAGTTACTCTACAGCCAATCAATATTTGTCTTACGAAAGTGAAACATCCGGTTATAACTTAGGCTTGATGAAAATAAATAGAAATGTAGCCTTAAACTCAACAAATTATTTTAAAGTTCTCTGGATTTGCAACTTTTATAGCATTTAGCCTAGGCCCCCCCCCTATTCTAAAAATATAAAATTTCTAAATTAATTTTAGGCTTAAGTTTTTATTTTTTATTTTTTTTTACGGTCTAAATCTAAAAAGCACGTTTTTATTCCATGTCAACAACACTATGTAAGGAATCTCGTCAACTCGCTTGTGTCCATTCGGCAGCAGTAGATCTAGTAATGTGCGGAAGAGGTAACTGATGACTGATGAATAGGCCTATAATAAAATAATTAGCCTAAGGCCTAGGGGCCTAGGCCTAATTACAATATTTAGGCCTATTAATATTTGTTTAGATTAGTCCTAGGCTAATAAATAATAAATAGATAGATCTAGTAGGCCGGTAATTGGTAATTTAATAAATTTATCGTTTTGGGTACGTAAAATCGCCCGCGGCTATTAATGTACGAAAACGTTACCTCATTGTCAAGGCTTTAATAGAAGTGTGTTGTCATATGTTTGTGTCAAATATTATAGATAAATGAATAATAAACCTAAATCAATGGCTAAATATAATCGATATAGGCCAGAAATTAACTTTAACCATTAATCTCCCATAGCATCTCCAAGTTTACCAACCATAGAGTCCCAGCGTAAGGGGAATAACTCTAAATGATTAAATGACTAATTTTACAGCAATCAATTAAACTCATTTCAGTAAATAACTAATTAAATTTTAAAAAATCTTATATTGTAGAGAAATGAATGCTCTAAAAACTGATACCAAATATGTCAGTATTTAACTTATAGGTATTTGCAAAAAAAAAAAAAATGTCGGAGAAAATTCAAAACAGGTCATTTTCGGTAGTCAACTTTATTTATTTTTGTCTAAACAACTATGCATCGAATTTAACAGTTAAATATCAATTTGGTTATGTTTAAGATATATACTTTATAAAATACATGCCTAGATACGTTTAGAGGCATTATTTTATTTTATTTTTAATATTAAATCTACTAAAAATACGACAGATGAGTCGAAAATTTCGAGATAGAAAGAAACTATTATTTTTTATCTTTCAAAAGCGCCATTGAAATTACAAGACCGGAAAAGGATGCTGAAACCATCCGACTTCCTGTTTAGTTAAAAATTAGGATTTGTATGCCAAATTTTAATGAAACAAATTTAATTTTTCTATGCGTATTGTAAGCGGGCGGCAGCGGGCGTTACGGGACATTAACGGTGTCGGGCGGCAGCGGGCGTTACGGGACATTAATGGTTAAACAGCAGTGTCTGAGAGCAAGATTTGCTATATAAACAGCAGCCATTTGTAAAATAGAGTGGCTTCCCCCTGAATCTCTTATAAAAATAAAACTTAAACAAGATGGCTGCTAAAGTAAATGAGCATGGTTGCATCTGTTGGAAACATCGCTAGTCTTCATTTATTACGGAAAAGTTTTAATTCAATTGTATAAAAACAGGTACATTTATAAATGAAACAAGGAAACATTTTTGTATTTTAAAAAACATAAATCCTCCTCAAAATGTGAAATAATTAAAATTTAAGGAGTCACCTGTTTTTCACATTACAAGTCGCGGGCGATTTTACGTACCCAAAACGATAGATTACCAGTAGGCCTATTAAATAAATAGGCCTAGGCCTACAATAAATATTAAATTATAGTTAGGCTAATAGGCAATCTATCGTTTTGGGTACGTAGAATCGTCCGCGGCTATTAATGTACGAAAACGTTACCTCGTTGTCGAGGCTTTAATAGAAGTGTATTGTTATATGTTTGTGTCAAATATTATAGATAAATGAATAATAAACCTAAAACAATGGCTAAATATATCAATATAGGCCAGAAATTAACTTGAAACAGCACTGTCTGCGAGCAGATTTGCTATATAAACAGCAGCCATTTGTAAAATAGAGTGGCTTCCCCCTGAATCTCTTATAAAAATAAAACTTAAACAAAATGGCTGCTATAGTAAATGAGCATGGTTGCATCTGTTGGAAACATCGCTAATCTTCATTTATTACGGAAAAGTTTTAATTCAATTCTTTAAAAACATGTACATAAATGAAACAAGGAAACAAGATAGTATTTTAAAAAACATAAATTTTCCTCAAAATGTGAAATAATTATTAAAATTTAAGGGTTAGGAGTTACCTGTTTTTGACATTACAAGTCACGAGCGATTTTACGTACCCAAAACGATAGATTACCGGCTAATAGGCCTAGGCCTAAGACCTAAGTATTTAAATTTATTAATAATTAATTAAAGTAAGTAGGCCTATAGACATAGATACACTATAGGCCCCCTACTATAGTATATAATTGATTTAAAATAGGGCCTAAGCAATGACCAAAACAATTTAAAATATCAGATTTAACCCTAAACTGTGGTCTAATATTCAATTATCTTTAGTATTTTAATACAATAAGCAAAAATATATTCATATTTAAGCCATATTCATTAGTTACCTTATCCTTACATTATTAGCACCAACCGAATTGATTACGCTAAAACTATAGATTACCCAAGATAGTTTATTTTTTAAGATGATAATTATAATTAATAATATTTTTTTAAATAGATCTAGATCTATACCTGATACTGTTAGCTATCATTTTAGATAGGCCTACGTAAAATTGGCTGAGGCTAATAATGTGAAAAAAAGGGGACTAATTAAAATTAAATTAAATTTTAGTAATTATTTCACATTTTAAGAGGATTTGTTTTGCAAGTTACAAAAATGTTTCATTTATGTAGATCTAGAATCTATTCTATAGCCTATGCTAAAAATGCTATTATTAAATTTAAAATCAATTAAGTTTGTAGGATTTCTAGGCTTCACTACTAACCTAGGGTTGCGTGGCAGCTATCACATTCTTTGTCAAGTATTGTTTTCAAAGTGAATACGCAGAGCATTTCAAGTTTTTTAGAATTCCATATAACGCATTCTTAAAATAGGTGTAATCTCACGATGTAGCATCGAAAATTATTCAGTAATGTTTGTTGAGCTTCGTTAATATTTGTTACTGTAACTACTAACATAGTTTATTTGACCATTGAAATAAAAATAAAGTCAAGTGCATTAAATTAATGTTTTAACTTAATTTAAAGTTTAATTGGCAGAAAATTAGCAACAATTAATATATCTAAATATTAATAATAAAGTCGTGTGTAGTAATAAATGTATTTTTAAGAAACACTGAAAAAATTTGCAGAAGAATTGTGACAACTAGATCTAGGCCTAGTAAGTAGTAAAATAAGAGGATTAGATTTACTAAAGTTTAAAGTAGTTAGAAGAACTAGAACAATGTTTGGTAGCAGCAATAATTAGCACATACACTTAGAGTAATTAGAAATACAAAATAATTAGCAAAACAGTAGGCTATTTAAAATGTAACGATAATATATCTATGCACATTTAAAAAATTATGTATTAAAAATAATATGGCACAAAAAAAAGTAAGGTAAACAGAATGGTGTGACAGACTATGCCAAAGTTTTACTGTTTTTTACTGCTGTATGATTCTGGAATAATAACCGACGCTATATACTATTATTATACTATATATCTTGTGATTACCAAAATAGGTATCGGGAATATTATTCAATTCAATATTATTCAATACCCCATTCATATATAACTAATAAACTCTTACAATAATATACAAATTTAGGCCATTAATAGATTATCTACTAGATATAGTTATTTAAATAGTAGTGTTTAATTTATTTTCTACTTTTTAGTGCATTTGTTAATAAAAGTTTTTTTTATGGATTTTTTTTATAATTCAAGGTTTAATACCGCTTACCCAGCCTCCATCTCAACTGACCTTGACAGTTAAGGAATCCAACTTTGATTAGTCTATCTTAGCAAATCCACCTGAAATCTTATTCACCGAGACCTAAAATAGATAAAATAAATAAAAATTAATAAACAATGTAGCTCTGTTGGGCTTTTAATTAAAACGTAAAACCTGATTTATAAGCATGTTATAGCAGTAGTACAAATTATATAAATGTCTACTTATTTTTATTTAATTCAGCCCAATTTTTATTACAGAAGGATAAATACTTAGTTACAGCAGGCTTTGTTTAGTGACTGCTGCACACTTTATAGTACCTGTAAAAACTGAATGAAAATGCCAGAAAGGAGATCATTTATTATAAGGCATCTACAAACTCCAATCTACTGTAGCTACTACGCCTATACAAACATTTAAAAATTTGAAAACAATTTGAATTAACATTTAAATTATTTTATCCTCAGTTCATTTATAAGAAACAGGGCAGAATGGCAGAGGCAACAAATGATTTAGATATAAAGTCAGATGAATTATCAGAATTTTCAAATTCTGAAGATGTGAAGCCAGAGCTATCTACATTACTTTTATCTTCTGCTGACATAAAAACAGAAGTAGCAACATTTTTGACTTCTCATGATATGAAACCAGACATGACATTTATAACTTCACAGGATTTTAAAACAGATGTTACACCAGAACTTTTATCTTCGAAAGAAACAAAAGCAGACTATACAACATTTTCATCTTTTGATGATGTAAAACACAATACGACATTTATAACTTCTGAAGATGTAACAACAGGATTTTTAATTAATAAAGATATGGAACCTGCTGTATCAGCAATATGTACAGGATCAGAAGATATAAAATCAGAATTAGCAGCGCTATCAACTAGAGAAGATATAAAATCAGAATTAGCAATGTTAGCAAGAAGTGATGATATAAAACCAGATTTATGGACAAAATTTATAGATTTTGAGGACAAACAGCAAAAAGGACTAGAAGAAAAGCTAGAAATTTCTGAAGATAGAACATTTGAGTCTGTTTTTCAGCATGAACATTTTTTTCAAAGATCTAACTTGAACAAACATAAACAAGCTCAAGTAGGGGAGAGGCCTCTTGAATGTGATGATAGTCATAAAAGGTTTTCAGATAGTTCTAGTTTAAGAAAACATAAAAAAGTTAATTCAGGAGATAAGCCACATGAATGTGATCTTTGTCATAAAAAGTTTTCATTCCGTTCTAGTTTAAGTAGGCACAAAAAAATTCATTCAATGGTTAAGCCTTATGAATGTGATGTTTGTCATAAAAGGTTTTCAGACAGTTCTTATTGTAATAGACACAAAAGAGTTCATACAGGAGAATATCAATATGCATGTGATATTTGTCATAAAAAGTTTTCAGACAGTTCTAATTTAAATATACACAAAAGAGTTCATTCAGGGGTTAAACCTTATGAATGTGATGTTTGTCAAAAAAAGTTTTCATACAGTTCTAGTTTAAATAAACATAAGAAAGTCCATTTAATGGTTAAGCCATATGAATGTGATGATTGTCATAAAAGGTTTTCACACAGTTCTACTCTAAGAATACACATAAAAATTCATTTAGGGGTTAAGCCTTATGAATGTGATGTTTGTCATAAAAAGTTTTCATGCAGTTCTAGTTTAAGTAAACATAAGAAAATCCATATAATGGTTAAGCCTTATGAATGTGATGTTTGTCATATAAGGTTTTCAGACAGTTCTTATTTTAATAGACACAAAAGAGTTCATACAGGAGAAAATCAATATGAATGTGATATTTGTCATAAAACGTTTTCAGACAGTTCTTCTATAAGCAAGCACAAAAAAATTCATTTAGTTGTTAAGCCTTATGAATGTGATCTTTGTCATAAAAAGTTTTCAGACAGTTCTAATTTAAATACACACAAAAGAGTTCATTCAGGAGTTAAACCATATGAATGTGATCTTTGTCATAAAAAGTTTTCAGACAGTTCTACTCTAAGCAAACACAAAAAAATTCATTTAATGGTTAAGCCTTATGAATGTGATGTTTGTCATAAAAAGTTTTTATTCAGTTCTAGGTTAAATAAACATAAAAAAGTTCATTCAGGAGATAAGCCACATGAATGTGATGTTTGTCATAAAAGGTTTTCAGACAGTTCTACTCTAAGCAAACACAAAAAAATTCATTTAATGGTTAAGCCTTATGAATGTAATGTTTGTCATAAAAAGTTTTCAGACAGTTTTCATTTTAATAGACACAAAACAATTCATTCATCAGATAATTCTGATAATCCGTATGAATGTGGTGTTTGTCATAAAAAGTTTTCATACATTTCTGTTCTAAACCAACACAAAAATATTCATATAGAAATTAAGCCTTATAAATGTGATCTGTGTCATAAAAATTTTTCATACAGTTCTTATCTAAGCCAACACAAAAATATTCATTTGGAAGTTAAGCCTTATGAATGTGATCTTTGTCATAAAAGGTTTTCAAACAGTTCTAAGCTAAGCCAACACAAAAATATTCATTTGGAAGTTAAGCCTTATGAATGTGATGTTTGTCATAAAAGGTTTTCAAACAGTTATAGTTTAAGTAAACATAAAAAAGTTCATTCAGGAGATAAGCCACATGAATGTGATCTTTGTCATAAAAGATTTTCAAACAGTTCTAATTTTAATAGACACAAAAGAATTCATTCAGCAGATAATTCATATGAATGATTTTTTTCATTAAAAAGTTTTCATAAAGTTCTTCTCTACGCAAACACAAAAAAATTGGTTAAGCCTTAAGAATGTCATAACTTTGTCATAAAGGGTTTTCACTTTGTTCATTTAGGAAATAAATTCTATAAATCTGATGTTGGTCATGAAAACTTTACCCACGATAGTGTATGATAATATTTTCTAAATTGTTCAAGCACCAAATGAATAGACATTCTAATCTTCAATTCATTCATGATCTGTATATATTCATAATAGGATTGCATGTAAGCACCAAATGAATAGACATTCTAATCTTCAATTCATTCATGATCTGTATATATTTATAATACAATAGCATGTTTTAGTTCTACTTCTAGGTCACTGGTGTATATTTTCATATATTATGTGCAAATACAGCTAAATTGATGTTCATTTGCATGTATTTTAATGAAAATAAAAGATAATAGCAGACTATTATTAATAAGTTATAATAGTAAATTTACCCAATTTAGACCATCCTTGTGGCTGAACATTTATAGTTGATCTTTTCTTTGGTCTCAGTCTGAGAAGTGTAAGTGGGGTAATTCCCTAAAACAACTATCAGTTTCTAATGCTTGACACTATCCCACTTTCTTTTCTATTTGCAAACAGTACCACCCTATACAAGTTGCAAATTTAAAAGGCAATAAAGAAAAACAAGACGAACACTGTATTGGTTATGTTCTGACATTTTGGTATCCTATTTCTAGCATAATTTATGCTTTGTTGTTTTTTCTTGTTTTCTTTTTTTTTTAAAAACACTTTAATTTTAATGAAAATGTTGCTGTGTGATTGTAACAAGAAAAAAAATAAATTTCTAACTAAATGTTTTTTTAGGGGTTTTCTGACAATGTTTGTATTCTGACATAAAAATTCCAATTAGACCATAGTGTGTTAAAGTGTATGTGGCATATATTTTATATACATCCATCTGTATTATTAACAGACTATATATAAACATCGTTACTGTTAAGTATGCAGTGATTAAAACTTATACACTCATACACCCAACTAAGCGACGCCACTGCCTATAGGCTATTACATTTTCCAAGACCACTAACGCATATTATATCCATAATAAGTTAGTTTCCTTAGCCTATAGGCCTATAAACATTTTCCAAGACCACTACCACATGTAAAATTATGTTATTTGTTACATGAGCCCACAAGTTTTAATTATGTATGTATGTAACCAAGGATTACAAAAGCATATAAGAAAAAATAATACTTCCATTGCCTCAAGTGTTAAATGCTGATTACTAAACACACATGTTATGGTTTTTTACAAATAAGGTTCTCTCAGAGGCCAGTGCAGGGCCTGGCCATGACGGCTAGTATAAAAATAGAAGTCGATTGCGGTTTCTTAAATGAATGAAAGAAGACTACATCACATGTTGAAGGAAAAAAAAAAACAGGAAAAAAGTCTCAGTTTTTGCTAGGAAAAAAAGTCACAGGTAAATGTACACAAAGGAAAAATGTTATTGGAAAAAAAGTCACAGAAATAAAGTCACAGAAGAAATGTCACAAAAAGGCTTTTGATTTAATTTTAATTGTTGAGAATTGAAAAATTGCGGGTTTTTATTCGTGTGGGTTGTTTTTGTTTTGGTAGCGGATTTATCAACGTAAAAGTATTATGGTTTATACCAATAATACCTTTTGTTATGTATTTAGTTAAATAAGCGGTAGAAAAATTAATTGCAAAATAAATTTTGGTACATCATTGTGTTTTCAATTTTCATTTTTGCCGTTGGCCATTCGTTTGTCGGCTTCTCAGTCGGCCTTTTCCCGTCCCTATTGTTTTTTAAGGTTTTACGTCAAAGCCAGCATTTGTAATGTGTCATCTTTCTGTGTTGATCCTATGCTTTGTTACGGAATGAGCATGATGAATGTGATCAGAAAAGATGATTGCTGTGTTAATGTCACAACTCTACTTGCTGTGTTAATGTCACAACTCTACTTGCCGTGTTAATGCCACAACTCTACTTGCTATGTTAATGTCACAACTCTACTTGCTATGCTAATGTCACAACTCTACTTACTATGTTAATGTCACAACTCTACTTGCTATGTTAATGTCACAACTCTACTTGCTATGCTAATGTCACAACTCTACTTACTATGTTAATGTTATAACTCTACTTGCCGTGTTAATGTCACAACTCTACTTGCTATGTTAATGTCACAACTCTACTTACTGTGTTAATGTCACAACTCTACTTGCTATGTTAATGTCACAACTCAACTTGCTGTGTTAATGTCACAACTCTACTTGCTATGTTAATGTTATAACTCTACTTGCCGTGTTAATGTCACAACTCTACTTGCTATGTTAATGTCACAACTCTACTTGCTATGTTAATGTTATAACTCTACTTGCCGTGTTAATGTCACAACTCTACTTGCTATGTTAATGTCACAACTCTACTTACTGTGTTAATGTCACAACTCTACTTGCTATGTTAATGTCACAACTCAACTTGCTGTGTTAATGTCACAACTCTACTTGCTATGTTAATGTTATAACTCTACTTGCCGTGTTAATGTCACAACTCTACTTGCTATGTTAATGTCACAACTCTACTTACGGTGTTAATGTCACAACTGTACTTGCTATGTTAATGTCATAACTCAACTTGCTGTGTTAATGTCGCAACTCTACTTGCTGTGTTAATGTCACAACTCTACTTGCTGTGTTAATGTCACATCTCTACTTGCTGTGTTAATGTCACAACAATTTGCTGTGTTAATGTCACAACTCTACTTACTATGTTAACGTCACAAATCTAAGTGTTGTTATTAATAAAAAAAAATGTATTAGTTTAAAGAACAGACAGTTGAATAATTACAGTACAGTAAGCAGAGGCGTATCCAGGTTTTTGTTGTAGGGGGAGCGAAAAGAGCAAAAAAAGGCGCCGAATTTTCAACACGTTCTATCTACATGTATTATATATATATATATATATATATATATATATATATATATATATATATATATATATATATATATATATATATATAATTACTAGCTGTATGTCATTACTTCGCTATGATGTAAAATAAATTGAAAGTAGCACTCTGAAGAAATAAGAAAAAACACACAATGTAGGCCGACAAAACAAAAATTGTATCAATCTAAATAAAAAAATATATACACACACTACAACCAAAAACAATGAACTTAACACAATCTGTTTTGTAATTCTTGTAAAAAAAATTTCTTACATAATAATTCCTGGGAAATTATTTAAGACAAGTGAAATAGGGGAAATAATCACTCTCTTAGTATAAATATGTATATATCTACAAATTTAATTATAAATGTCAAAATAAATAAATAATTACTTTAGAATATAATGAAATTGTTTAACACTATTCGTGTTTACAACATGTTTTTGTCTTTAATCAAAATTTAATATATCGTCATCATAAATGCTAAAGTATTACAGCATATTGAAAGTTTTTAAAATCAGAGTTGGTATAAAACCACGCTTTTCGATTGATTAGAGAAACATTCAGAATAACAGCCTACATTTAACTAAATATCAGTCTTTTATTTCGGATCATATATTTTAAATTAACTACTGCTTCTATGTGTTCTTTTAAGCTAATTTTTAACATAGTGATAGGTATGGGTTAGATCACTGTGTTGATCACACACCTTTTTACTGGTAATTGCAAAAAAACAATATTCACAGTTTTACGTTAAAAGCTAATTTTCTGGCGGCATGGTACTTTGGTACATCATTACGCGTTTTTCTACATGTACTTAACGGATCAGTTCGGGGTGCGTTGGGGGGGGGGGGGGGAGTTTCAACTTCATTCACCACTGTCCGTTCACTTTAGGTCAATTATCCAACCCAGTGTATACCTAGGTGTGACATTAATGTCGCTCTACACTATTGTGGTGGTGAAGTGTATGTGTATGGGGGGGGGGGGGGGATAACCAACTCAGAGTGAACATAGTGTCAGTTTTTAGATGACTATTCTAAACATTCATATATATTACACAAATATATATTACAGAATACATTATGGTATTATGACAATATTTGTTTTTACAGAGGGGTCCATGGAGGAGGGGGGTTGTAACTGTTTCATATAATTTGTAATCGTAATCACTATCGCCCAAACTGTAAGAATACTACTACTTCATCGTGATGATGTTGTTGACCTTGTCAAAATTTCCCCACCACTACGCAGTTTGCTCATAAGTAAATTTAAATAGAGGTGCCACATCAGTTGTATTTGTTTCTGTATTGTAATTTTTTTAAAAATCAATCACACGATTCAAACTGTATATATAAAGTAATTATGTGTGAAGTTTTATGTATAACATTTTCTAATTCAATTATTCGTAAGCAAACACATTATACAGTTGCCTTAAACTTAACACCCCTCTTGCCAAGTGGTACTACCCGTAGAGGTTTTTTAAACATTGCAATGCATCGTAATGGTTATTTTTAGAATTGCAAACTGATGCAGCTGTTAATACGTGTTGTAAACGTAGACACTACTAGACTAGTACAATAATGCTTAATTGCTACATGAAAAGAAATCGTGTGATTTACATAGATGTCCCGACCAAAAATATTTTTTTAACAAATATTGTTTAAAATCTTGAGTTTACAAAGTTTCCAAAAAAGGCGCCACTTTGCTGAAAATGGCCAAAGGGGGAGCGGCCGCTCCCCCTGCTCCCCCCCCCCCCTGCGTACGCTACTGACAGTAAGGCTTATTCAACGAATGGGGGGGGGGGTGTGAATTATTATAATTAGTAAACAGGACGTTTAATGAATAAAATAAATACAAGATAGCCTTTTATCAATCGATGCTAATTATGATATAGCAACAATAATGTCCTCTTACAATAATGTCACCTGCAGATTTGCATTCACATTTTGCTAATTATATTATTATAACAATAATTTTTGTATTAGCGTGAGTTGAATTGATTTTTATATAAACTCCATTGGCAAAATTACAAAACAATTTACATAATTAATTCGACCCTACTATTATTAAAATGTATCATTTTTTTTTCTGGGAATCAAAACGAAAATGATATTTTACATTGATCCGTTTAATATGTTTTAGCAATTTGTGTGTATTTAATATTTTATTTACGTTATGTGAAAGAGTAAAAACTGTAGCAACTATAATATAAATTTAAGTCGTTATTTAAACAAACCTTACTCTATTACTCATAATAATGCAAGTAAAAAGCAAATGTGATTTGTTTACTTTTATGGTTCTAAAATCTATAGCGATTACGGAATGACTGACACACTACCAGTCCACTTATATAATATTATATATATATATATATATATATATATATATATATATATATATAGTGCTTGATTATCATTTCTTTCGCTCTGATGTGACAGACAACGTATACAATTTTATAATATTTCTTAAATCTATATACTACTTAAACTCAAGTTTACATGTATGATAATTCATTTTTTTTGTTTCTCTGTATTGTTATAAGGGAGAATCTACATTATGTGTAGAGCTGTAAAATAGCATTTGGGTAGAGAACAATGTTATTTAATCACAAACTAATTTAAAAAGACGTTTATCAATTTATTGATATATTCATTGGTAGATTAACCACATTAATTATAAAAGTTCAGAACAATGACTTTACTTATAGTAAATAGTGAAGTTACATAACTTATTTACTTTTTACAATTTTTTCGTATATTCGAAGTATAAAGAAAGTCTTGTAATCGTGCAAAAAAAAATCGAGTTTTTTTGCAAATCTATGAGTATGAAAAACATAATTTTGCAATCTTGTCCGTATGTCTGTGTGCGTATGTGTGTGTGTGTGTCTGTCTGTCTGTGTCTGTAAACACGATAACTTGAGTACCGTTACAGCTAGGTTGATGAAATTTCATATATAAGTATTATATTAAAATCGTAGATTCGTATAATTTTTTGAGCGATTTCCCATAACCTAGAGTGGTACTTTTTCTACTTTGAATTTTTCAAAAGCCTATAACTTGAGTACTGTTTCAGATGGATAAATGAAATTTCACACGTAAGGAAAAAGATCTAATTTTCTACCTTCTGTCAAATTTTGAGTAATTTCCGTTGAACGGAAGTAGTAAAAAAAACTAAGTTAAATGTGAAAATTACTAATAATATTGCGCATTATTATGCATATTTTATTTGGCATTCACTTGGTGTGCAATTCTTTTTCTACGAGATTTTATCCTATTTTAAAAACTGTAAGTATTTAAAATG